AAGTTGGGGCTGTTCAGCCTGGAGAAGAGAAGCTGCTGGAGACCTCAGAGCAGCTTCCAGTGTCTGAAGGGAGCTACAAGGAGGTTGGGGAGGGACTCTTCATTAGGGACTCTAGTGGCAGGACAAGGGGTAATGGCTTTAAACTTAAACAGGGGAACTTTAGGTTAGATCTAAGGAAGAAGTTCTTCACAGTGAGGGTGGTGAGGCACTGGAATGGGTTGCCCAAGGAAGTTGTGAATGCTCCAACCCTGGCTGTGTTTAAGGCCAGGTTGGCCTTGGCGACATGGTTTAGTGTGAGGTGTCCCTGCCCATGGCAGGGGGGGTTGGAACTAGATGGTCTTAAGGTCCTTTCCAACCCAATCCATTCTATGAAAAGCAAATCAAAGCCCTTTATTAAATGTACTTTTCCTGTCTCATTTATTCACATGATGAAAATAACAGTGATTCTGCAAACATCGTGGAGGAATGGAGAAGTTACATTATGGGTTTTACTTGCAGGACTTGAAATAAATCAGAGTGTGGGGTTTTTTTTGGGGGGGGAACCTGAGATTTACTCTCTCCAGCAGCAGCTATAGCTTTAGAATGGAAAAATAGCAGGAAAGGTGATGCTGGGGAACAGTTCTAGAATGTCTTGTAGGTGTATTTGCCACATTCAGTTAAGTAATTAATGAATTGTTGTTTCTCTCTTCTCTCCCTGACCTTCTTGTTTTTCTTCTTCTCCCTCTCCATGTCTGTCCTCCTGCCCTCCCCACACATCCTTACTTTTCTCTTCCATTTTGCTCCTCTGATTGTCATCCTCTTTGCTCTGCCTGTGTGGTTCAGAAGTGGGGTGCCCATGGGAGGTGCTGCAGGAGCAGTCTCACGGTGTGGGAGCTCCAGAAGCAGTGCTCCCACACCACGGGACCCCTTGGTCACTGGTGGGGCTGTCCCAGGCAATCCAGGACAATTGTAAGCTCTGCTGTGTGATGTAGGAATTCAGCTTCACTTCAGCAAAGGGATAACTTCTGAACTGGGACTGGTTTAACTGGCAAAGACTTTATATGATAAGAAGTAAAACAAGCTGTGTGAAGACTAGATTTATGTTACTAATACAAGAGGCAAAAATGCATTTGCATTTGCATTCTACTAACTGCTAACACATATCCTATGTTTGCAGCTTCCAGTTAGTTTGGTTTGCATGACTCTACATAAACTGAAAACTCTTGTAATGTACCTGGTGGTGGAAAACCCTTTGAAGCAGATTGAATATGTAGAAAACAAAAAGCAACATTGGCATGTTTGTCTAGTTTTCTGGTTTCTTTCTCTCTCTCCACGAGCTGTCTGTCTCAGAGCCTGTTCCCCAGTGTGTTACTATGCATCATTTGTAATCATATGCTCTGATAAAGGGGAGAGATTAAAGAAGGTTAAGAACTTGGATCTTCTCTCTTGAAACATCACTCTTTTGGTTATTTATTCCTTTAAAACAACATGAACTGAATTATACAGGCTTCCAAAGTAGCCCTCACAAGTGGTGAGTTCAGACCTTTGTACCATAAACTGAATTATTAGACATATGGTTACAAAATTTGCTCATACACTTTTACATGTACACTTCTGTGGGTGCAGTGTAAAGCTTTGAATGTGAATCTGCTTTGTATTCATGTGTAGGAGGGAACTGTTCAAATGTATCTGGGAAAACACATCTCTGGGGTGGAGAAAATAACATCAGGCTTATTCCAACAGAAACCTCCCATTTGAGCATGAGCAGCATCCTTTGGCATATTCCCTTTTACTTTCTCAACAGCCCTATGTCAAGTTAATGCATCCTAAACATATCTGGCAGCATGCTGGTTTCAGCACAGTTGTCCCCAAGGCTTGAACACATTGTGAGTGGTATTTTTACAGTCCCTGCCAACCTATTGAACTCAGGGTCAGCCTGGCATCTCCCACAGGTCAGCACAAAGCTGGCCCAAAGGTCCTCTTCATCTGGGGGTGTGGAATTGAGGGATGCCAATACTGACCCAAGGCACAACATGTCACCAACATTTCTCTCTCTGAACCTGAGCACTCTCTGCACTGAGATTGATGTGAAATATTCAACTTTTTTTGAAGGTTGTTGTGTAGGTTGTAGTCCAGGATGGATTGAAAAAGTTTGCTTTCTGCTACGTTTTGTTATGCAGGGGAAGGATCTGCCTATTACGTTTTACTTCCAGCCCAAAAATTTCACTATATACTATTGGTTGAATATTTTTACTTACACAGTAAGCACAGCTTCAAAACATGTCAGAGATTATGGAAAGAATAAAAAAGTAGATGGAAAAAGACTCTTCCCCTCAAACACGACCACAAACCCTGAGAGAAGCCTAAGGAAGAAGAAAGACCTTCTGAATATGCTGAAGTTGGGTTGATTCTGATGCCTTGGTAGTACATGGAAATAATTCTCCTGCAGTCTTATTACCTGATGTGGTCAAAACCTTTTTAGCTCCAAGGCAGACAGGTTTTGCCTATAGCAGGTTTCAGTGTGTCCCTTGAAGCTGCCTTGGGCAGTTGAGGCTGAGGGAATCTCCAGGCAGCCCTGTATCCAGTGTGTTAGGTATGGCAGCCCTCTGTGCAACAGGGCCAGCAACAGTTGTGTAGATCAACAGCTTTCCAAGATGCTTAGAACAATAAACTTGTTAAAAATAAGGGCCTTCAGATCTCCTTCAGAAGTGATTACCTTCCTTACTAATCTGCTTTCCTGCTTGTTTCACATTTGGGGACTGAACTAGAATGACATGCAAACGCAATGCCTTAACTTCCCCTGCAAAACAGCAGTGGCTGCACCCCCATGTGCTCTGTAACACCTGCTGGGTTTTTTGGTTATTTTAAAGAATGCATCAGCATACATGTGAAATCATCAATATTTGTACCCATGCTAAAGCTTTTTCAGTGCTACCCCCTTGAAAAACAATTTGGATTACAATTGATGTTTCCCTCTAGTTTTGTTCCAGCTTTGCTTTGACGCACTGTATGAGAATGGGGTATTTTCATATTGAATACTGTTCTTTTTGGCTGCCTTGTGCTATCCACAAAATGTAAAGTAACAGCAGGGAAAAGTGGACATTTAACTCATATCTATGTTGGGATGGGAAAATCCAAGGATTTAAAATTCACAAAATCTTTTAACCCCCTCTTAGAACTCCAGTTCTGCAGCAGTTTTAGGGCACTTGGGAGTCCCCCTCCTGTCCCTTAGCAGAAGGGTACTTTGAAAAGCTGCTGTTGCATTTTCTCTGAAATGGAGAGTATGTAGTTTTTTTTAAACTTGGGGTTTTTTGTTCTGTTGCCCAAACAAACTGCCAGTAGTGGCTCCTCTTACCTCGCTTTGCACTTTGCTTTCTCTTCCTGGGAGCAGTCGTGCTTGGTTTTGTGTAGCATCCAAGTATGTTCCCTCTCCAGGTAGCAGCCATCTAAATTCACACCTTAGTTTCCCATTTGGACTGTCTTCAGCTTCTTCTCTACCCATTTCTGCCGAGCCCAGCCCATCACCTTCTCAGTGTCCATCTGTCCCTGCTCCAAACCTCACTGTCACTTTCATGCAGCACTGTCTCTGAAGATCCCATTCTGTTTCCCATTGGCCTCAGAACAGAATGTTTGTGTTCTTGCCAGTTTATTACTGATGCAGACGGAGTCTCTCATCAGAGAGCAGTTATGCCATGTGCTCTAAAAACATGAACTGGTTGTCCCTGTCCCATAGAATTTATCATAACAATTTTGGTCTGTCTTTTTCTCATTTATTTTCTGTCTAAATGGATCTGACTTTTTTCCTCCCCTTACTCTGTCTCTGTTCCCTAAGATCACATCTGTTTTCTCCCTCAAGTTGCTTCACTCTTCTGAAACCCCATTCCCTCTTCCCCTGACCCAGCTCTCACTGTGTCTATCTGTTACTCTCTGTCCTGGTGCTGCTTCTTCACCCTACCTATGATTTAGGCTCCTCTTCCTACTCATGAGTCTTGGCCGTTTCAGGTCACCTTCTTGCTTAGGTGCAAGGGAATAAGTTGTCTCTTTCACCTTTCGGCATGAAGACAGTGAGTGATGTTTGCCAGTGTAAATCTGAGTTAGCTTGCTGATTTAAACCCCTGCATACTTGTGCAAGCATATTGTTGGGATAATCGTTAGTAACAGGAATTTTATTTGCTGTATTCACAGTATCTAAAGAACTGAAAGCCCTCTAATGTCTGACTGTGTCTTATCTTTCCTGGAACTCATTCACCCCATAATGTAATATAAACACATTTATTTTAAATGACTGGAAAGAAACCGTTAATGCTTGTATTATGTTTTAACTTGCTTTCCTTTGGAGGCAGGGAATTGTCAAGTAAGTACTAACACAGAGAAAGCACAGATTGCTGTCAATGTACAATGCAGATTGCATAGGTCAATTTGCTACAGTGCCAGTTTCTTGTCTTGACACTGCCATCTTCTGTACCAAAATCAACTAGGTGCAGTCTCAGACTTGTTAAAATTGAAATGACTTCTTAAACTGTTAAACATTTGATGTTGCTTTACATTTGTTTTATTAAGATGATAAGGCAGCGAACGCATACCTGTGTGTATATATACATGTATATGTATATATGACTGCACACAACATGCTGGTGGTGTGTACTGTGAAAAGTTATAGCAAAGTATACGTGTGTATGTGTATGTTTCCAAATGAAATCTCATGCTTACAACAGTTATGATCAAGCATGTCACAGCGTAGTGTTCTCCTGCTTTCATAATCTTGGCTTGCTCTTGTCATAAACTTTAACTATGTTCCTAGGTAAAGAAATGTACAAATGATTTGTTTTAAAGTTACACTAAAACAGAAATAAGAGCAGGAAGCATAGAAGAAAATGATTTATTACCTTCATAAGCAAGGCCCTAGTAAATCTGGGCTGCAATGAAATAATGATTTCACTTTGTAAGAGTCTTAAGTCTTATAATAGTTTCCTGCCCCCTCCTCTGGTGAGTGCACTGCTATTCGGTCCGGTTGCCACCACCACTTATGTAATGTGACTTGATTGACCACTTTCAGAGAAAATAAAGGTACTTGTTTCCCTATGAACAAAAAAGTACAAGCTGTCCCCATGAGCAAGTTGGCCTCCCAAGGAACAATGACGAGGCGAAATCACAGGCTGAACTGGGAGAGAAAACAAGCATCCATTGTGTGACATTCTCAACTGTGCTTATGAGGCTGTTAAGTTCCTACCAGTTTCCATCCTGTCAGGCACCTGAAAACAGAGACATGGAATCACATTCTCCTTCAGTATATAGTGTGCAGGAAGCATGGACGTAGCTTCCTTTTTCCCTAGATCCCGTAGGATCTTTAGTTCAGAGCATACCCAGGGATGATGTTTCCGAATTTGCGGACTGGTGCACTCTTTAATTTCTGTTTTAGTTCTTGCTGGCATGCTTGAACAGCATGGTTTGTGCCACAGAGGAATGACTGATCAACTCTGAAAGTGCTTGTGCATGAGTAAAGTGGTCAGAAGTACACCTAAACTGTATTAAGTTTCTTACTTGGCTTTATTTGCTGCTTACAAGGGGATCAAGGTAACTCTTTCACTCTTCTAATGTCACAAGATCACCTGCTCATGTATTTTGCTAGTACTTAGTGAGTTTGTTTGTTTGCTTGAGAAGTGGGTTAGTTTGTTCACCTCCAGCTTAGTTCTGTCTTATTGAGAGCTCAGATTTTCACGCTGCTTACTCCTGCAATAAGTATTCTAGCTGTGTAGCAGTAAGTGCTCTAACTGTGCATTTTGTCAGTTGTTGCCTTTAATACCTTCCATAGAAAACCACAATTCCAGAAAAAGCAGCTCCCTCTAAGCAAAAGGGATTTAGTTCTTTTGCAATTACCTTTTGCAAAAAGTGAATTAATGGGAATAGAAGCATAAGGACAAGAACAAATTAATTTTCACAGCATATATAATGGATATTGAGTTCACACCTTTTTGAAATCTTCAACTGTGGAAATGTTTTCCAAATTGGAATGTTTATTGAATAAATGGAGAGCTTTTCACTTACAGAGCTCCACTATTTTTTAACCCTGTCTCCAGAACCTGCAATTGGAGTTTAAAGGCATGTGGTGAGGTGGGGTTTGTGTTATTCACAGCAGCCATCAAGTGATGTTTTGGAGAAGCATTTAACCATAATATCTGGTTTTATTCTTTTGCCATCATCGCTTCTACCCAAGACCTATTTTCTAAGTAAAACATGACCAAACATGGTAAGAATTTGGGCCAGATTTCTGTGGGCTAATTTCTCCAGTAACCCAGTGCAACTCTTCTGGCTCTGTTCTGCTGCTGACAGGGTTAGAATTAACCCTCATGAATATCTGTTAACAGAAAGGGAGGATCATTACACTTAATTTACAGTGCTCATCTGCAGTGGAGCAGGCCTTTGATTTTGTAAGGTCATGAACTTCTAGAGGCTGAGCTCCTGCTTCTCCTCTTGGGTCTGTGCCTCTTCTTTCTTCCTCAGAAGGACAAACAGTAGCAGCACAAGTTGTCTGTCTTTAAGGTCATTTGCACAGATCAAATTTTGTTTCAGTCTGTGTTCCACATTTGTCTTTTTAGCTACTTCTAGCAACTATAATTCTATAAAAGTGCTTTGCTGGCCTCAATCTCTGTTAACTTCACACGGATGAATGACTTGTACATTTCAAAATCTAATCATTTCATCTTTAATATGATTTTGGAGCAGGTTTTCATAAAGTCCTCTCAAGGTTTTGTGATGGGGTTTCTCAGAAGCAGTAATGTTGGGAAAGGTCAACTGCCAGCTGCAGAAAATCTTTTAGCTCGTTTCTGAAAGCAACAATTTCCTGTCATTTAGTATTCAAGGAATTTCCCATGGGTTAAATCATGGGGTTTTTAGAAAATGGCACGAGGTGTTCTGCCACTCACCCACAAAAATCAGTGTTATTTCTGCTCTTCCCATCAACATGCATATGGTTGTAGTCGGTTTGCTGGTTAACCCTAAAAACAGCTAAGCATTAAGCTCATGGAGTTGCAATTGGCCATTTCTTGTTGCCATACAAAACACATGCTGTGGTTTTGGAGGTTTTATTTTGCTTTCAAACTTGCTGATTGTCATCTTTTGTAACTGTTTCAGGCCACCAGTTAGCAGAGCTGCTCCTCAACCCGAGAAACTGCAAAAGAACAATATCAACAAAAAAAAGAAACTGGTTGAGGTCAGGCTTTATACTTTTGCATTTGCTTTAGAAGTGCTGGGGGAAGTTCATCTCTGTTTTGAGGGCAGCTAAAGTCATATATGGAAAAGAAAGCAAATTCTAGGAAGTGCTTTCAAACACCAGGAGATATGATAGACAGCAACCTCTGTCAGAAAGAAACTCAGATTCAGGGTGTTAAAGCTTACCTATAATAGAAAGCTCTTCAAACCCACCATCCATCTCTCAAGTTGAAGGCAGGTAGAGCCCAAGTGTATGTGCCTCCACAGCAGAGCCCATACTCACTGTATCACCCCACAGGAAATAGTTAGAAGCTGCACTTTCACACATGAAAAATCACATGCAGGATTTTGCATGATGAAATTTGCTTGGTTACTTTGGAACACACCTTTTCCCCCAAACAACCTTTTTGAATTTCCACACTATATGCTGAACAAGGAATATTCTGTGTTCTATGCGGAGAGTTTGCAACACTTGCTTGGGCTGCCTCTGTCATTTGAACTGTGCCAAGTAAGCTGTGATTGTGTTTGGGACAGGTTCATTAAGTGTCTTCTGGGCTACAAAAGCAACTTTAACAACAACCCATTAACCACCACTGTTTTCTGGAGGAAGTTTCCTTGGTAGTTACTAATAAGTACACTGAAATTATACCTCTGATTAATGTTTTAATTGTAAAGCCTTCGCTTCTTACAAGGCCTTTAAGGTCAGAATTTGGTCTGTTAAAATGTGGTAGTTTATGGGCATGATTTTTGAAGACTCTTAAAGCAGAATTAAAGATGCTTGCAAAGATACCCTATATAGAGATCAAACTGTGATGGGCAGATTAGCAGATTTGGATCTGTTTTGTAAATTGTATATATTCTGAAGGGAAATTTACAGCAGCCAGATGAATTATTAAAGAAATAGTAATATAAATGCAGTGCCTTAGTTGACCATTAAAGCATTGTAGATAGTCTGTGAGAATGTCATGCCCCAATAAGTGAGTAAAAGAACAGGGTTAACTGATAAACTATTGTTTAATTAGTGTATTGCCTCTACAAGGTATCTGTAGCTCGTGTGATTACTTTAGAACTGTGCTTATGTGATCTAAACTCTGTCATCTCCTTGTTCCTTCTTTCATTTCACTCTTCCTCTTTCTTTTCCTTTTACTTGACCAGGAGCTGGCTTTAGACCATGTTTTTGGATACAGAGGATTCGATTGTCGCAACAACCTCCATTACCTGAATGATGGTGCTGATATTATTTTCCACACAGCTGCAGCAGGCATAGTCCAAAATCTTTCCACTGGTAAGATCTGGTAATTCTTTCTACTGATTTGGTAAAATCTTTCTACTGGTAAGTATTGTTTCAACTTGAAACAATACTTGGAGGTAAAAAATGCTTTACAAGTAAAACATTTCTGATTGAAAGCCTGCTGCCAAGAAGGGGCAGAAGAAGAAAAGCTGTCACATCTGGTGGCCTTTAGGGACTCTGGTCCTAGCACGGCCTCTGACCCACGGAGCTGGAAAGCTCAGTCCCATCTTGCTCCATTTGGGCCCTTGCCCATGGGAGGACAGTGCAAAGCTCAGACTTCACAGGGCTTTGCTCTCCACTTTGCTTTGGTTATACTGGGGAACTGGGACCCTGCATTTGCCAGTTTGGCTTTTCCTTGCAGTTACAGGTTGGTACAGGATGATTCTTGGGCCAATTCCTGGTACCCTGGACATAGCTACTTTACCAAATACTGTTTTTCTATACATACCCATGCGTTAATGGTTACGTTCATAGTGCATTAGTTAATGGTGCCTGGGAGGAAGAGCAGAGCAGCTGCAGACATAGTTACTGCTCCACCCTCATCCATCCCTGGAGAGCACAGCATGAGTGTAGTGACAGGCCAAGTATTCTTTGCTTCAGTGGTGGCTCTTCCTTCAATACTGTTGTGATTAAAACCATGTTTGAATTTTATTAGGTAGTCAGAGTTTCTACCTGGAGCATACTGATGACATTCTCTGCCTAACTGTGAATCAGCACCCAAAGTATAAAAACATTGTGGCTACCAGCCAGATCGGTAGGTGACTCTCCATATAGCAATGTTTTACTCACAAATCATCAGGGGCACTGATTTATTTTGGGCTTTTCTGTGTTGGAGTTTTACCAGGACATGACTGTGCTACTGTCCTCAGACTTTCTCTTTGATTGTAAAGAGGTAATCAAGCGTCAGGATTTTCCTGTGGTTTCAGTTTCATCTCTGATTGTGAGTGGTTGGATTTTAGAGTTAATTGTAGGATTATATCATTATATCATATTTCAGAAAGCAAACTTTGATAAACTGCACTATCATCTAGCTAATCTGTAATCATATGATTTACAGAATTTCCTTTCCTTCCTATATCCAAGGCAGTGTTTAGCAGTAAAATGCTTAGCAGTGACAATAAAACTATCAAAATTTCCTAAGCAGAATCACAGAAACTATACAGAAAAGGAAAGGAACAGTGTGAAATCTCAGTGGGAGTTATGGCACATGTACGCAGCCTCTTGCGAAACCCTATATATTTATGTGCTTAGTATTTACACACAGAGTCCTCTTAGATTCCCTAGTACATTTTGCAGGAGTAAGCGTTGTGTGGGAAATGCAGGATATTTGTCCCAGTAGCAAGATCTGTTGCCTTTCATTTAAACCACCTTAATATAATTAAGTGCATGAAAAAGAAGGGTGTCATTCAAATTCATCTCATCCCAGAAGGAGACTTAAGTCTGCACCTTCTGTAATGAATAACTTCAGAGGGGGCAGGAAAATGGCACCTTGACAAACCAGCTTTGCCACCTGCACTCAGGGCTGTCACTTCAATCTGGATGTTGAGTGAACACAAAAATCTGTGTCTTGTCAGAGCTTCTGTTCAAAATACTGGGTTAAAAATACAGGGAAGAGGTGACTGTTACAGCCCCTCTCTTAGTCTGTCAGCAAGAGCCCATGAAACCAGTGCTTCTGATAGTGGTTGAGATTCTGTATGGCCATGGAGTCGTTCCACTTTGAAATGTAATAGTTTTTAAAAGCTGCATGTCTTTAGCATTTCTTTTACAACTCAAAGTACTAAATATTGTTGCGATATTTGTGTATAAAAGCCAATATACCCAAAGAAGTTCAACAATATTCCTGCTTATTTGCTTTGTTGATTTAATCCATATCCATTTTCAAACTTTTAATTTTGTTTTTCCTTCTGGTGCTGATGCTGGCACTTCAGCATTAGAAACATGACTTACTTCACCTATTGTTTTCCCTTGGTGCTTCTCATTTGCCATTGCTCTCACAATGCAGGTGATATGACAGAATTCCCAGGTAAGGCTGATTTGTTTGTGGGTTTATTCAGCAGAGTTCTGTTAAAGTCTCATGTTTCCTCGTTGTATCTGTGTGAACCGCGGATACAAATGAAACATCTACAGTTTCTTTTGCATGAGGCTCTTCATAAATGTTATGTTGTTCTTTTAGACCTGTCTTACTTCATGAAATACAATGATTCCCCCTGTGTTTTGCAAGCTATTACGGTTATTTTTTGGTTTGGGTAGTGTTAATCTTAAAACAAACCCCCACAACTTCCAAGTGTCTGTTTAGGTTAAGTGTTCTTGAAAGATGCCTCTTTTGCACTGAAGCTTTCCAGATGCTGAATTAATTCTCTTTTAACACATCTTTTTGCACATATAGGAACAACTCCCACAATTCATGTATGGGATGCTATGAGTAAGCAAACGATTTCAATGCTGCGCTGCTTCCACACCAAAGGGGTCAACTACGTTAACTTCAGTGCAACTGGCAAACTTCTGGTTTCCGTGGGAGTTGATCCAGAACATACTATCACAGTGTGGAGGTGGCAAGAAGGTAACTCTGGAAAAACCCTCTTCCTTCACCCTGATAGAACTGTGTACAGTTACTTGCTTTTCCTTTCAAGTCTTGGGAATAGATGGGTATTCCAGAGAATAGATTAGTCCGAGCATCATGGCTCCCTAAGTCACAAAACCAGTTAAAGGAGATGGAAAAGTGCTAGATAATATGAACAAGAAAACCAGTTTTAAATGTCTATTATAAATAAAAGTAGGTTAAGGAAATAATGTTGTTTAATATAACATTCTATGAAATTAAGGGAAGTATTTTCTTCTTCTTCCTAAAATACTTGAACTTGAAATTCTACTCTGTGGATAGGCCTTGGGAAGTCATTTCCAGAAAGGAATTATCATCTTTGGAAATGGGGGAGAGGAGAGGGAAAGTGTCCCAGCTCCTTAGAAGTGTCCCTGTGCGTTTCACCAGATGGGAACTCATTGATGATATGCCAAATTTCTGAGGTGTTATTTCACTGATCAAGGTGACAAATCATGCTGTGAAGTACTAAATGTGAGCTTCCTAAAGCTGTCATCCAGGGACCTTACAGGTTGCATGAATTAAGATGTTTGATACACTATGTGGGGACGTGCTTAGCTTTCAGCATCTGGGACACAGTTCTCTAGTCCAATACCACGTCAATTGATGTTATAAAATCATACCAGAGCTTAACTTTGCAGGTAAATTTAACTTTATTTTATCCTTTCCTAATTAAAACAGGGGCTAAAGTGGCCAGCAGGGGAGGACACCTGGAGAGGATATTCGTGGTAGAGTTCCGCCCAGACTCAGACACCCAGTTTGTGTCTGTTGGGGTAAAACACATGAAGTTCTGGACATTAGCTGGCAGTGCTTTGCTTTATAAGAAAGGAGTCATTGGTTCCATGGAAGATGCCAAAATGCAAACCATGCTTTCTGTGGCCTTCGGAGCAGTGAGTTCAAATTACTTGCTACAGACTTTTATCATACATTGTCTTTAAAACTGCAAGTGCCAGTTTGCTTTGTGGAAACCTTATGCAGCACACACAGTGCAAGACCATGGAGCTCTTGCTTATAGTTAAACTTTTCATTCCAAACTTGCACACCTTTACATCCTCAAGGAAGTTTTCTAAGCAGGGTCTGGTTTCTCTGCTGCCATGGCTTTTCTGTCTTTCCTTTGCTAGTTATGTACTGCTTCACTGGTTAACTTAGAAGAATGTGATGTTATCGTGTGGGTAGGCTCTGCTACCCTTTTTTCTGTCAACACTATTTGGTACAACATGTGCTGGTGATCCCACTAATGGTTCCAGTATATTCTGCTCTCCAGTATGATCATTAGGGAACCTTGCACTGTGCTTTAGATTTCATTGTGTGTGAAAACAGTACATATTATCAGTGAAAAAGCAGCGTTACCATGATCCTAACTAAGGTCTGAAATAGCTTCTGCTTCATCCAGAAACCCTACAGAAATTACCTTTGCATAGGCAGGGCATAAAGTACACAAATCACCAATTCAAAGAAACCCCTTGCTCCTAATTACCCACCCTGGACAATAGTGCTAGTGTGAGAAATGCAGGACTATAAAATTAGGCTCCCAAATCCTCATCTTTATGCCCAAAAAAGTGACTGTGTTGTCAAAAAATGCTCCAAACCAAAGATTTATTGCTCTTCTGTGGAATTACTCCAGTACAAAATAGGAGTAATGTAATGGACACTAAAGATCCCAAAAGGGATTTTAAAAAAGAAGAATGTAATGTCAGAACAAGCAAATTGCTTGTCTGTACTTTTCAAAACCAGCAAATGAACTCGACTTGACTAGAATATGTCATTCATCCAGGGTGCTTTCTTCTTCCTCAGATATGTGTGATTGAATCTCACTGGCTTCCTTTTATGAGGAATTATGCCATTGCTGTGGTGCATAAAGCAGTTATCAGGTTGAGTTAGTTCCGCAGTTAAGTTTATACACTTCATTGTCAATCCCTGGAAGATCCTGCTTGCCAGTCACCTGTAGTGGGATTCACCCTGACACATACTCAGAGAAGAAAGCAGCATCACTTGGAGTTCAGCAGTGGTAACCTGCTGCCCATCTCACCAGTGGGGCCATGGCACAGCATGTGCACAGCAAAAGAAGTATATAAATGTGAGAGATGGAGATAGATGCACGAGGTGAATGTGTTCCACACACATGATTTATAACACCCCAAAGAAACACCCTTAGAGTGCAGTCATTAAACTCATTAAACTCATTCTGCAGGTGCAGATTGTTTCCATTCCTACAGTCATTGCACAGTTGACTTTCCTCAGGAAATTTGGTAGCTAAAAGAGCTTTAACTGAAGCTGAACAAAGCTGCTGAGGTATTTATCATATCACAGATATTGCTGCTTTTTTTTGCAGAATAACCTTACCTTTACTGGTGCCATAAATGGAGATGTCTACGTGTGGAAGGACCATTTTCTGGTCAGGCTTGTGGCAAAAGCTCACACTGGGCCAGTGTTCACAATGTACACGACCCTTCGAGACGGACTTATCGTTACAGGAGGGAAGGAGAGACCGTAAGATATAAAACCTCCCTACAGTGCACAGCTTTTCTCTGTCTTATTTTGGTTTTAGTTTACCCAATACCCTCGACATACACAGTGCTTCCCAGGGATAAATGGCATCTGTACTGTAGCAGCTTCAATCTGAATTTGATGTAATGTGCCCAGGTGTCTTAGTAAAGGACTAAAAAGTAGGATACTCAAGGGTCACAGTAATGCACGTTATGCACAAAGGATGTACTGAACCTCAAACTAGTGATTGCTGTGAACACCTGCATAAGCTCCTGCCAGCCTGGCAGAAGTGGGTTTTCCTTAATTTTTTGATTCTGGCAAGTTACAGACAACATCTCCCAGCGGAGATGCTGATGAGTAAATTCTTTCATTTACTTGAAGTAACAAATTTGCCAAGCGTGTCTTGGAGACAGAGATTTGAGATTAAGTGACAAGAGAACAATTTGGTTTTCACAAATTAGACATGATGCTTTTTAAAACATGAAGTGTGGTGGCATTTACATTATTTGCTTTCCATTGCACAATAGTGAGGTGTCTTTATAGAATCATGGAATGGTTTGTGTTGAAGGGACCTTAAAGCTGATCTAGTTCCAACCCCTGCCACGGGCAGGGACACCTTCCACCAGAGCAGGTTGCTCCAAGCCCCTGTGTCCAACCTGGCCTTGAACACTGCCAGGGATGGGGCACTCACAACTTCCTTGGGCACCCTGTGCCAGGCCCTCACCACTCTCACCATGAAGAATTTTTTCCTTATATCCAACCTAAATCTCCCCTGTTTCAGTTTGAACCCATCACCCCTTGTCCTGTCCCTACAGTCCCTGATGAAGGTCCCTCTCCAGCACCCTTGTAGCCCCCTTCAGACACTGGAAGCTGCTCTGAGGTCTCCACGCAGCTTCTCTTCTCCAGGTTGAACAGCCCCAACTTTCTCAGCCTGTCTTTGTACAGGAGGTGCTCCAGCCTCCTTATATGCAGTAGAAGGTGATTCAATGTATGTCTTATAATTTAATCAGAAAAATATGGGTGGGGTTTCCATATGGGCTTTGTTGTAGCCTGTGCAGAAGGAGATGTGGGTAACACACCACCCTTCCTTTCAGCACCAAAGAAGGAGGAGCTGTAAAGCTGTGGGACCAGGAGATGAAGCGGTGCCGAGCGTTCCAGCTAGAGACAGGCCAGCTCATCGAGTGCGTGCGCTCCGTCTGCAGAGGCAAAGTGAGTGAGCAGCACCCCTGCGCGTTGTTCGCGGTGGAGAAGGCTTCTGTGAAGTTATGGGAGGAGGCTTTGCCTGACTACCCAGTGTGTGTCCTTACACGTCTTCCTGAGTTCAGGAAGGGTTTTAAGCTGCATGAGGATCGCGTTTCTGACACTTGGGGCCTGCCTTTACAGTCAGCAAGGAAGTGTAGGGACATATTCCACCAGGGCAGGACCTTGTGTCCCACCGTTCTTTTCAAAGAGGAACTTGGGTACCTACTTAACAAGGTCTGCTTCCCATGAAACATGGGCACAGTTTGGGTGCTTCACTTGGGCAGAGTGGATCCTACCTTTGTTTTTTTCCTAAAGTCACAAATAGAACAAGTTACTGCTGAGAATTACTAGTTGACTTTAGGTTTTGGTAAAGTGGAAAACCACAGAATTAACTGAGTAATTTACATGCTAAAGTCACTTTTGCACATACTTAAATAGCACTTGTAAATGTTGTGAGTGTGTGATGATGCAGGAGCATTATTTCATAAGATGGGTACCTGTCCAACCTAACGCCACATGAAATCGTCTCTATTTAACTTCATAAATCAAGTCTCAGGAATTTGACATGCTCTTTGGTAACACCACCACTGAGGAACGTTTTGTTTCTAATCAAGTAGCCATTGACCAATTTCAAACTGTATCTGTTGATGCCTTTTCCATGTATTTGCAGTTCAGACCATGATAGAGTGGCTAAAGTAAGATGCAAGGTGCTCTTCAACAGTCTAACTGAGCCTAAACGCCTGTTATTATTGCCTAATATTATATTGTTACCCCAAAGGTATGAGAATCACTCTTTGCCACCTTGTATGTAAACACTCTGATCTGAAGTAAAATCCTTAAAGACAAGGTGCAAATCCACCACAGCCACTCAACAGTAGCACCAGAACATGGTATCAGATCCCAAGATGTGAAAGGGGCCGTGATTTACTCTCCTGCTTTTAAGATGCTGCATGAACAAGCTGTATAAATGAGGATGAGTTACCACAAATACTTCTGCAATACACTGGTGTTCACTGCTATGATCTGTTCTGTCTGTTACACTGGTAACATCTCTCATGCTTTTTTTCACCTACAAACAGGGGAAAATTCTAGTGGGAACAAAAGACGGAGAAATTCTTGAAGTAGGGGAAAAAAATGCTGCTTCAAACTTGTTGATTGACTGTCACATGGAAGGAGAAATCTGGGGCTTAGCAACTCACCCCTCAAAAGACATATTTATCTCTGCCAGTAATGATGGAACAGCAAGAATCTGGGACCTGTGTGACAAAGTGAGTATTGCTGAATTTAAAAGTATGTGATAAGAAATGGTCATTTCATGCAACCACGGGGTTTTCCAGCTGTACGATGCGCCAGCTACGTAGGCACCTTTGCACAGCCACGTAGAGAGAGCAGAGTGTTTCTCCATGGTTTGACATGGTTCTTCATATTCCCTGCTCTGTGGTGATGTGGAAGGGTGAGTCCTTGGTGAGGTTTCATTGTTTCACTGCTGCTCTTTCCAACTGCAAGCAGCCTGCAGAGAAACAGTTATGT